GGCTGTGGGAGGGGGGCCGCTGCCTAGCTCCCAGGTGCTGAGGGAGCCAGGCGGGGGGGGAGGGGGGCGGCCCAACCAATCACCCCACAGATGGGATGGTAGAGCAGGTAAGGGGGCGGCGCCAGGCCATGGCAAGGTGCCAGGTGGGGCTGCAGGGCTGTGAGGCTGGAGGCACAAGCTGGGGCTGTGAGCCTGGGGATGCGAGCTGGGGCCAGATCCCCACAGGCAATCCCTGGGGATCCCGTGTGTGCACAAATTTGTGCACTGGGCCTCTAGTAACTATATAATTGATTAAAGAATTCTATCAGGCATCTACTAGTACATTTTTCTCAGAACAAAAGTAACCTGCTGACTGAGATGACAAACACCGCTAAAACTGACTTCTCAGGCCCAGCTGGTGTGGCTCAGTGGATGAGCGTTGATCTACAAACCAGGAGGTCATGGTTCAATTCCTGGTAATAGCACATGACTGGGTTGCAGCCTTGATCCCCAAGAGGGGGAATGCAGGAGGCAGTCAATGATTCTCATCAGTGATGCTTCTATCTCTCTCTCCCTCTCCCTTCCTCTCTGAAATCAGTAAGAATATATATATTTTTAAAAACTGATTTCTCAGAGGTGCTGTGACTATATTACTAACAATGTTTAAAACAATAGACATGGCCGAACCGGTTTGGCTCAGTGGATAGAGCGTCGGCCTGCGGACCGAAAGGTCCCGGGTTCGATTCCGGTCGGGGGCATGTGCCTGGGTTGCGGGCACATCCCCAGTGGGAGACGTGCAGGAGGCGGCTGATCGATGTTTCTCTCTCATCGATGTTTCTAACTATCTATCTCTCTCCCTTCCTCTCTGTAAAAAATCAATAAAATATATTTTTTAAAAAATATTTCTTCTAATTAATTCCCTTTCAATGTGCACAAATTCATGCACCGGGCCAGTAGTGCTGTATATAAGAAAGGTTAAAACAGGGAATCACTTGCAGGTCTGGAATGGATGAGTTCAATTTACATTATTTCTAATGGCAAAAGATGATTTGGTTTTTAAACAAATTGCTTCCCGAACAGTGTTCTGGAATGCATTAAGTTCGAGAACCAAGGTTCCCCTGTATTATAACCACCCACCTCAGTTTACCTACTCAAACAACTAGATGTCATCCTTCAGCGCCTCCTTCCTCTTTACCCCCGCCCCCACCTTCCTTAATCACTAAGTCACCAAGCTTCAAGAAGAAGGAATTCTTCTAAGCATTTTTCAAATTCTCCCTTAATGTACTCACTACTCACTACCAGGCACTCATTTAGAAACGCTTAGTGCACCAAGTTCATGATGCTCCAGATGAAGTGCAAACTCTACCATGTGATATAAGGGCCACCCTGACTCTGCACAACTGGAATCTGATGTTGAAGCAATATTGGGCGGAAGTGAGGTGACCGCCCTTCTCCAGGTTCATTGCACCTTCTCTCTCTGAATAACAGCAACAAGCCCGGACACCTCATGCCACAAACACATGCCCTGGTCAGCCGGGGGCCCCTCTGGAACTCATGATTGTCCAGGGAAGTTATGCACAGAGACTTGGCAAACATTACTTCATGCTTCTGAGGGTTTCTGGGGTGTCTAAAGGCTTTTACAAGAGAAGGCCACAGAGAATGTGGTGATCTAGCTTGATCTCATCCTGAAAAAGACAGGGGTTGGTGATTTCATTGTAGTCATAGTAAACCGATCTTTGTGAAATGTTCTGGTGAACATTATGGCTTGCTTCACACAAGCCGTGGGTGGAGAGAGTAGGGGCGGAATCTGCACTTTGAGTAGGTCATAGATTTCCCCCAAAGGTCTGGGTTCCTGAGCCTGTATGAAGGTCCTGTTCAGGGGGAGACGGGGAATCATGGCATTCTATTTCCTTCCTAAAATCTAGTTTTCTGCTTGACTCGGTTACTGTCTGTCTATCTGTTCATCTACGGGAGTAATAATACTCCCCTCTCCTCCCTCTCTCTCATCCTTCTGTCTTCCATCATTTTTTGTTATCAATTTCTATTTTTGTTGATCTTTCTTTTCTTTTCCTTCTTTCCTCCTTTGTTCTCTTTTTGTCTCTCCCTCTAATTCTTCTTTCTTTTTCTAATTCTATCTTTCCTCCCTCCCTCCATGCCAACTTCCTTCCCTCCTTTTTCTTCCTTTCTCAATTGCTGTTTTAATCTCTCTCTCTCATGTTTCTTTCCTTTTTCTCTGTCCCCCTCTCCTTTCCTTACCCTCATCCCCACACTCCCTTTCTTCTTCTTCTTTTTGCTCCTCTTTTTAAAAAAATTTAAATTCTTTATTGTTGAAAGTATTACATATGTCTTCTCCTCTCCCCCCGCCCCATTCTCCCTTTCTTCTTTCAACATGTAACATGGACGATTTTGAGCTCACATTCAGGGAGACAAAACTCAGATGTCTTGTCATAAAGAATCTCACATTTCCCAGGAAGGCAGATGCCCCGAAGGGAATGAAGGGACAAAGGCAGGGCCCAAAGAAACCCCTGCAGGCATCATGGGGCCCTGGCTGGCCCAGACCTCTTCCACTCCTGCTCTCGAAGCTTCATCCGCTGGATTTTCCCAGAGACCGTTTTGGGCAGGTCCAAGACAAACTCCACCTGTTGGGACAGATCAGTCCAGGGTTGGCCATCCATGACTCCACAAGGTTGAATTTTTTTGAGGAATTACTGTAGGTGAGGGGAAGCTCCTGGGGCTGGGAGGCTCCAGGTGAGTGACTACTGAGTTTGGAAAACTCCCAGGACATAAGAAGGTGCAACAGGGAGGTTCAGAAAGTGCTCTGGGACAAGGAGAAGAAAGTGACTAGAACAGGACATAGGAGTGAGCCAACTGGTCTCTGATGTACTGTGGGGCAGGGAGAGCAGTGCAGGGGACAGGAGTCAGACACCTGAGCTCTGACATAGACTGTGTTCCAGTCTCGCCCCCACCATCTACCTGGCTTTGAACTAGGCTTTTCCGAGAATCATTTTTCCTACCGAGTACCTGGAAAATCACCACAACCTTGTGGCGTTGTTGTGAGAAAAAATGCAGGCTGAGTTCTTGGCAGGGGCAACACCCAAGATGTCAGCCATGGGTCTGAATCTGGACTAGAGACAGTGGGCAGCTAAGAGTCAGGAAGCCTGGTTTTCAATTTCATCTCCATCCTTTTCTGTTGGTGTGTCCTCAGCAGAACTCAAAAACCTCTCCACCTTCACCTTCTGACCCGTGGGAAGGAATGCTTGCTGCTCAGGACCCTTCCATCTCTAATATTCCTGAATCCTAAGGTGTGTGCAAGGAAGAGAATTCACCGAGGCTTCTGGCTGTAGGGCTCAGCTTGCCAGAACGTTGGTCTAGAAGTCAGATGGTTTTGGGTTTAAGGAAAGTAATAATAAGAGGGATACTGGTATGGAACAGGTATCTTCTCACCAGCTGACTTGCTGTGAGGCAAGGCTAACTTTGTAAAGGAAAGAATTTGTTAAAATCACAGTCAGACAAAGCAAGGGTTTGGCAAACTATAGCCTGTGGGCAAAATCCAGCCCTTCTCCTGTTTTTGTAAATACAGTTTTATTGAAACAACAGCTATATGTGTTCATTTACAGTTGAGGCTGGCTGCTTTCTCACTGAAGGGCAGAGCTGAGTAGTTCCCACAGACAGTATGACCTAAAACATTACTACTTGGTCGTTGGGTGCTAATGGAGAGCAGAAGAAACCACAGGAGGTTCAGTTTCATGCTAAGAAGAAAGCGCTGCTGCGCATCATGAGGAAGGGGCAGAACGGGGTGGTTGCTGGGAGGAGGAAGAGTGTGGGAAGAACCACTACCAGGGCATTCTAAGGGGAGCTGTAAAAGGAGACACATCTATGGGATAAACTGTTGCCCTGTGTGACAGGACCCTCTCCACTGGGTCCTCAGAGATATTCAGCTGCAAGTAAAACTCCATAATATGCTTGTTGTGGTCAGATTTCTAGTCGCTTTTAAAATACTTATTAAATTCTTGCTAAGGTACCTTATAAACATTAACTGTTCTTTTTAACAACCTGTGAAAGGGTGACACCATAATCCCCATTTCACAGATAGGAAAAGTGAGGCACAGAGAGATTGCTGAGTGAGTGATGGAGGTGAATGCAAGTCTGTGTGTTGGCCTCTGGTGTGCTGCCCAGGTCCCTGCAGGAATGAAAGACTCACTTTCCCATTGCCAGGCCCCTTGCGGAGCACAGCAGCTCAGGAGAGTTGTCCCTCCCAGGGTCCCACCCCTGGCCTCACCCCCAGGCCCTGCCCCCGGGCCCCACCCCCCAGGGCAGCCTGCATCTATGCCTGACCTACAGGGGCTGTAAAGGCCCTTCCCCAGCTGCTGCTCAGGAAATTGAGAGGGTGTCTTAGCTTCAAGACTCCCCATGGGGAGGCCCCCACTAAGTTCCATCACAGTGCAACTTTACCTTCAGTCAATCCATTCCCCTCCCTTCCCCAAGAGGTCACCCCAAAGACTCCCTCACAAACCTCTGCCATGTTAGTCTCCTTCTGAGTCTGCCTCTCAGAAACGGGCCAGGGACAGCTTGTGCGGACAAGTTGTGAGTGAGCACCTGGGTTACACAGAATCTGAGGGACTTCATGTGGCCTCTCTCACCTTCTACCCCAGACTCAAAAGAAGAAAAATTACATCCTTCCCTGGGACAAAGTCCTACCTTGTGCCCAACTCCAAAAACTGGGCCTGTCTTCCGTGTCCACCTCTATGCCTTAGTTCCCTGCCCCACAGTAAAAACAGCTGAAAACTGATATAGTAGATTGTATGCTTTTTGCCCTTTCTGATAACAGCTCTTCCATTTACCCATGGGAGCCACCCCTCCCTCACTCGGTCATGTCCTGGTGTAGGGCAGCCCTTCCTCCCATCTTCCTGCATTCGCTCCAGGGATGACCGCATGACCCATAACTGGCCAATCACAGTGTTCATCCCCTGGTTACAGGGATTGGTTTAAGAATGGACACGTGACCCGAACTGTCCCAATGAGAATCAACTTGAAGACTTGCTGGTCCTTTGGGGACAAGGATGCTCTTTTTCAAGAGTGTTTGGAGCTGCTGGAGAGCACTTCAAGGAATGAAGCCAATACCGAAAGGAGAGTCCAGGGCAAAAGCCATCCCTGACCCCCATTGACCTGCCTGTTCCAGCTGTGACTAAGGACTCACCCCTCTGGCCTTACCAGTTGTGTGAGAAATGAACTTCAAGTTGGATTTCTGTTGCTTGCAGCCCAGAGAATCCTGAGTAATATAGCAAGACCTTGGTGCAGAGAGGACCTTGGTGGGAATGTGGGCGAGAATTGTTATGGGAACATCTGGTTTTCAATCAGGGTGAGCTCAGTGCTGAGCTACCTTTCAGGGTCTATAATAGTTTCCTGATTGTTCTGGGGGGACTTTCTTCATCATAGTCAGGCAGAACTTTGAAATAAGAGTCCTGGTCCACAGCCAGAGAAGGGAAACATGAGAGGAGGCCACCACTCCACGTTGGGGGCGCCAGGGCCCTCACCTTCCTTGGGTACTTGTACGGGGCGGTCACCGACTTCACGTGCTGCTGCAGCTCCCTGGTGAGCTGCTCCGGGTCATGGGACAGAAACGGTGGCGCCAGGACCACAAAGGCCTTCACCACCTGCAGCGAGGACGAGGGCAAGAGAGGAGGGGTCAGAGTACATCGTCACCTCCTGGGATACGACAGAGTCAGTGTTAGGACTTCCTCCACAGCCACCGACCTTATGTCCTCTCCATTTTACCTCCAGGCATTTGTGGCCAAGAAAAGGGAGAAACTGGGGGTAATAATGGCCAACAGTCCAATTCTCTCTCAAATGGCTTATTGGGTGGGCAGTTAGGACGGCAGGTTGAGACCTGGCTCACCTCATATCCCAGAGGCAATAGCGAGACAGGGAGAAGCTAGGTGTAAGTGAAGAGAAGACAATAAGGGCTTGGACCACAGACCTGGAGGACCTGTTCAACCCTCCCGCTACAGCTTGCACAGCTGTGAAATGGAGATCTGATTGCCTTCCTTAATTCATGGGAACTACGATGACATCATATACAGCCTGGCTTCGCTCCATGCTTGGCACAGAGTTTTCTCAGTAGAGGATCCTCTTTGGGCCCCATTTGCCTAGTGGCTGCTATGGTTTCCATGGTGATATGTCCCATACCTGCCAGAGATATGACAATGTCAGCTTGCACCCTGCAGAGATGTCCGGGACACTGACCCACACCTCTGCACCTTACCCTCCCCCCGAAGCTCCCATGGACTCCACCTGACCTTTCTTTAGAACCCCACATTATTATACGGTCTTCCATTTTCCCCATATTCTCACTGCAAAATCCACGGCTCAGGGGCTCCATCTCTTGGCTCAAATCCCTCCTCTGTTCTTCTGGTCAGGGATCAGTTCTGATTCAAGTGCCAACAATAGTGACCTTCTGAGATGCTTGGTATGTGACAGATCTTATTCCAAGCACCTTATAAATATTAACACATTTACTCATCACACAACCCCTCATCTTACATATGGAAAACTGGGGCTCAGAGAGGCTAAGCAACTTGTCCCAGGTCACACAGCTAGGAAGCAGGAGGGCCAAGATTTTGGCTCAGGCTGTCCAGTTGCCAGAGTACATGCTCTTAACCATCACACCTTATACCCTGTTTCCCAAATCTGCACCCCTAGCCTGATGCTCCCATCACCTCTCCTCGGATGGGGTCTGGGATACTGATGACAGCCGTCTCCACCACAGCAGGGTGCTCCATGAGTGCATTCTCCACCTCTCCAGGTCCGATCCGGTGCCTGGAGAAGGACCCACCTGTCAGAGAAGACTGGGCACCACCTCTAGGCCAAGCCCAAGGTCTAGGACAGGGGTGGGCAAACTTTTTGACTCGGGGGCCACAATGGGTTCTTAAACTGGACCGGAGGGCCGGAACAAAAGCATGGATGGAGTGTTTGTGTGAACTAATATAAATTCAAAGTAAACATCATTACATAAAAGGGTACGGTCTTTTTTTTTTTTTTTAATTTTATTCATTTCAAACGGGCCGGATCCAGCACGTGGGCCGTAGTTTGCCCACAGCTGGTCTAGAATCATCAAAAATAGGACCCAGATTACACTTCTCAGCCCAGAACCCAGCTCACCCGCTGGAGTTAATGATGTCATCTGCTCGCCCCATGAACTGGAAATATCCGTCTTGATCCTTGATGGCCCGGTCTCCCATGAGCCAAAAGTCCCCTCGAATGTTGGCTGCTGTCTTCTCAGGATTGTCCTGGGGCCACAGAAAGACAGTCACTGTGCCTGCAAAGCCCACACCCTCTGCCCCGGCCGGGGCTGCCATGAACAGCTGTGCAGGTTGTGTGTTTTACAACTTGAACAACTGTGCCTAGCAGGCTGCCCTGAGCCTGTCAACCCCAGCCCTGTGGAGCTGGTTCCCCCCTTCATTTCAGTTACTCCCACAGCATTGCCCTCTAACCCCGCTTGAGTCTAAGGGTAACATCAATGCAGCCAGGCCCACGTGCCCAGGGAATTTCCCCCGCCGGGGCCCACCTTCCTTTCAGGGTCAGCCTAACTGGCTCCTGCTCCATTTCATGACACCATTTAAGGGTGCCAAGGTTGATGGGACGCTTTCATGGCTACTTTGTTAGATCCGCAAGTTCTAGAAATATACCAGCTGGACCCCTCCGTTCAGCTGAGGCAGGTGTTCTTGAACAGGGAGAAGGCTTGGGGTTCACCCCTTGTTAGTGCATCTTGGTATTTTGTTTACATGTAGGCGTGTGGGCTCCGGATTGGACAGTCAGTCACTGGTTCAAAGATGGCATAGGGAGTTCATAGGCTCCCATCTCCATTTGGAAAGCACAGGTATTGAAGACCAGAGCAATCAAGAGGCGTAGCCAAAGCCCAATAACCATTCCAGGTGGCAGAGCGGAGACTGGAAGCCAGATCTGACCCCAGCTTGGCTCTTTCTCCAGCCGCCTTCAGCCCTCCTCTCCAGGCCCATGTCTCCTCACCTCGATCAGGGGGTGACAATGTGGGTCTCCGGCAATTCTTTTCTTCTCACATAGCACTGTTCTAAGTGCTCCAAAAACACTAATGCCTTTGGAGAACCATTGTCATGCTATGAGGTATTACAACACAGTTTACAGGTTTGGAAACTGAGGCATGAGAGGTCAGTCACTTTCTCACACAGCAAATAGTGGAGTAGGGTTTTGAACTCAAGCAATTTGGTTCCAAATACCTCATAAGGGCATCAGGAAGATTAAATGAGTATAATGTCTATGAAGTGCTTTAGGACTGTGTGTATCATGTAGCAAGCACACAGTAAGTGGCAGCCACTGTTATGACTGAATGTATTATTTGGTTTAATATTTGAGGCCTTCCTTGCCCATTTTCCAGCAGTGGCAGGCTTGCATGAGCCTTGTCATATCTGGTCTCACCATCCGCGCCTCTAAATCGAGGCGGCTGGACTCGAGGATCACCTGTTTCTAATGTTCCAAGGTCTGAAGACAGGGATGTCCAGCTCTGTGGTGAAGTCCCAGTGTGATGTGGCTCACACGGCTGTGAGGAGGATCAATGGCAGGGAGTGGGGGTGAGCCTTGGACGCAGACCTGCCCTGGGGAGAATGCTACCCCATATGCTTCCAGGCAGCAAGCTTTCTGCCAGGGGCAGTTCTTGTGCATGTAAAGGGGCATCCAAATAAAGACAATTCTTCAGATGAGGTCTTAGTGTTCGGCTAAGGATGGCAGGGTGAGGGCCACCTTCTCTCTTGGCAAAGCACCCTTCTTAGACCCTGGGTACTCCTTGTCAATGCCTCTTGGGAAGTCTGTAACTCAGGGACCCTCCCCCCATCCCTCTCAGAGCCCCTAATCCCACCAGGGACAGAGGGGAGGAGCCTGAGTTCATTACCACGTAGCCTGAGAAGATGCCTATGGGCCTGTTGGGTTTGATCCTGATGCCCAAGTCTCCCTCCACCCCAGGTGGCAGGACGTGGCCCTGGTCATCGATGACCTGCAGGAGGAAGCAGATCAGGAGAAGGAGCCATGGGACAGGGTGCCTGGGCAGCAGCCGGGAGAGCCGACTGGGCACACGGAGGCCCTCCGGCTCTAGTGGTGGCTGAACACATGGAACCGGAACCCAGGGAAGCCATGTGCTTGGAGCCCAGGTCTTGAACCCGTCTGCCTGGCATGGTTTAGGTGAAGCCCCCATAGAGCCTGGACCAGAGGAGCTCGGGACGTGTCTGGCTGTAGGAGCTCAGGAGGCATAGCAGCTGCCCGTTGTCTTCGAGGCCCATGAACTTGGGCACCAGACAGATTAAAACACAAATTCCAACCCTGCTACCTAACCCGTTGTCTTTGAGCTACTTAAGCTCGATGTCTCAGTGCCTTCAACTGCTGATGTCACAGGACTGTATCAGAGTGCAGGGGGCACTGAGAAAAAGAGCTCACAGGGGAGTGGCCTGGAATAGAGCACACACTGTTATACTCCAGACCTGCAGGGCCCTGCACGGAGCCACAGACACACATACTTGAGTTCCATTGCTGGGAATGTAGCCTGAAGAAATGATAGAGACCAGTACAATTTCAGCTCCAGCACACTGAGTGTATGCTGTTAGTACCAGTGAACCATTTGGAATCATCTCCTGACCAGCAGACAGCACACAGTGGGGGCCATGCTCTCCTCCGCAGTGGAGTCACTACAAACCCTGGCGCGTCAGCAGCATGAACCAAGAAGGTGGACACCAAGAC